TATGTAAGCCGGAAGAGTATTATTGTATAATACTGTATAAGTAGTATTGTGTAATTAATTAATTAATGTATTTATTTATATTTCAAATTTAGATACCACCCATCTCACAAACCTGAACCATTGTGTATTTAACTCAAATTGTTGTGTATTTAACTCGAATTTTGCTACAATAGACTCCGTTCTTAACTATAGGTTGCCCTTAAACTGGGTGTTCTTAACCAGGGGACTACCTGTAATTTTAGTCCCCTTTTTACCCCCGTGCTCCTTGAGTTTTATTATTACAGCTTGCAGATCCTTTGCATTTTCAACTATCAAGATAGCATCATCAGCATAGTCAGGTGATTGATGTTTCTTCCTCCAGTTTTAAAACCACACTCACCTTTTTCTAATCCAGCCTCTCTTAATATATATTTAGCATATAAATTGAATAAATAAGGAGAGATTATACAACCTCTTTTGCCAACCTGGAACCAGTTTTGTCCATATTGTGGCTTCCTCACCTGTATATAGGTTTTGCATGAGGACAATGAGATGTTCTACAATTCCCATTTTTTAAGCACATTCCATAGCTTGACATGATTGATTATAGAAAGGCCTTCAATTGTGTCAATGAAGCACATATTGACCTTTTTTTTAATATTCTTTGGTTTCTCAATTCTCTAGTGTGCATCAACAATAATGTCCTGTGTTCTTTGCCCTTTTCCAAAGCCAGCTTGAATATCTGACATCTCTTTTTCCATGTAAGGCTCTAATCTAGATGATCCTAAGCATTATTTTCCTAGCATGTGAAATTAAGGATATTGGATGATAGTTTGTACACTCTGTTAAGTCTTTTTTTTTGGTACTGGACAGTGGATTGACTTCTTCCAATCTCTTGGCTACTGTGTCCGTCTCCAGGTTTACTGCCATAAGTTGGTTAGAAATTTTACTGATTCTTATTCTGTTGTTGCCATATTTCTGTGGGTATTCCATCAGTTCCCATAGCCTTCCAACTTGGTAAGAAGTGCAGATCTAACTTGAACTTCTAGTACTAATCAGTTTCTACAGCCTTCTGACTTGGTAAGAAGTGGAGTGCTGATCTAACTTCATCTTCTAGTACTAGAAGTTCTTGAAAGTAGGGAATATCTTGTAATGTTCTGTATCTTTGATTTCTTTGAATCAGTTACTATCTGTCCATTGGCTTCTTTAGCATATCAATTTGAGGTTGGAACCTCCTTCTGAATTCAGAGATCTTTTGGAAGACTTCCCTTGTCTTTCCACGTTTGTTTCCATCTTTGTCTTTACAGATGCTTCTTGTCTTTTTTTCTCTCTCTGAAACTCTTTAATAAGTTCCTTTCTGAGATTTTTGTTTTTCTTGGCTTTGGCTTCTCTTCTCTTTTTGGCAATTTTCATGGTTTGTTCTGACATTCAGTTTGCTTTATTCTGTTTCTTCATCTTTTGCAGTCTCTTTTCATATTCATCCTAAGTTCATTCCAGAGTTCCTCTAGTTCTCTGTCAATGAACTTCAAAGTGATTCCTGAAGTTTTCCTTGAAAATGGTGGGTATATGCTTAAGATCATATTGTGGAAACTGGTTGGCTTTCTTCTTTTCCTTTGGCTTAACTTGGAAATTGCACATGAGCAGTTCATGATCTGTTCCACAATCAGCATCTGACCACGTTTTTGATACTATAACTGAGTACCTCTACCTCCTTTCAGTAATAATATAGGCAATTTGATTTCTATGTACTCCATTTGGTGATGTCTATGTATACAGGCATTGTTTTGGTTGCTTGAAGACCCCATTAGCAAAGAAGAAATCACTGGAATGGCAGCAATTGATAAGTCAATCTCCTGCTTCATGTTGGTTTCCTAAGCCATACAATCCACATTTTCCTCTTTTGTGTTTCCAACTTTGGCATTCCAGTCTCCAATCACAAGCAGCACATCTTGCTTGCATGTTCTGTTGATTTCAAACTGAACTTGATCACAGAAGTGATCAACCTCCTCTTTTTCTGCATTGGTGGTTGGAACGTAAACTTGAATGATCATCATATTAAAGGGTTGTCCACAAAGTCTAAGCAATATTATTCGGTCATTGACTGCACTGTAGCCAAATACTGTTTTTGCTATATCGTTCCTAACTATAAAAGCAACACCATTTCTTGTTTTGCATGTCCTGAGTAATAAACGGTGTGATCTTCTGACCAGTCCACCTCAATTCGCTGATGCCTAAGATGTCAATCTGTAGTTGTTTCATGTTTTATTGTGTTGAGCTTTCCTGTGTTCATGCTTATGTTCCATGTTCGCACTATAATTCTATTGTTGCAGCTTTGGATTTTCTCTTCTGTATGACAACGTCAGCAACTAGACATTCCAAAAGCGTTAATCTAGCCACATCATAAACACCATTAATACTCCAAAAGATCCTCAGCTCTTCCTCAGTAGCATGTTGAGTACCATTCGACCTGAAGGGCCCATCATCTGGCACTATGATGTCAATCATATTTTCTTTCCATTTTTTTTTTTTTGGTAAAGTACAGGAGTGGTTTACTATTACTTTCTCCTGTGTAGTATGAATTGATGCCTTTGCCATTGTCACTAAAGTGATCATCAGCCTCCTGTATCTTCCTATATCGCTGCTGCCTAATATAAATGCCTGCTTGCTTTAGCTGAAATGACCTTCACACCTTGGGTGACACTGCTGGGTATATATACTTTTGGCATACACTCCTGGCATTCTTCACTCATCTCTTGGAACACCCCCCTCCCCTGCCACAATGAGGCAGCACAACAGGTCTTGGGAAGAACCACAAAATAAATATTAACCCCCCCAAAAAAACATTCCACCCCCCCAAAACCCAACCATATATTATTAAAAGATAAACCCAGATGTGCAAAATGGTGAACTGAACAGAATATATTAAAATAGTGGGGGACCCTGCTCATCTGAACCCAAAGATCCAGGTCTTGATCACTTTTCTAGTGGCCAGCATGGTTGGAGTCATCATTTGCTAGAGGGAAGATCATTCCAGAGAGCAGGGGCAGCCACTGAAAAGTCATACTTCCTAGGCTCCATAAGATGACAATTCTTAATTGAGGGAACCTGGAGCATGCTGCCCCAATGGGAAAGTGTGGGGTGGGCACATTTTTTTGGGAGCAGGCAGTCTAACAAGTAGTCTGGTCCTATGCCACACAGGGCTTTATAGGTGATAATCAGCACTTTGAATTGCACCTGGAAGCCTATTGCCTACAGTTTGCAGAGTAGCAATGTCATACAGGTGTAATGGATTGCACCCATAACTACCTGTGCCACTGCATTCTGGACCAACTGAAGCTTTCAGATGGTCTTGGAGGCCATGGCAGCTAGCATGGCAACAGCTGAAAACTATTACAAACAATGAACATTCCATACTATTTAGGGAATGTTGCTCTCATCAGATCAAAGAGTCATGGCAAGGAGAGCTTTACAGCAATTGGGAACCAGCTTGATATTACTTTTGTTTTTAAAAAAAAAAAAAAAAAAGG